TCAGATAACTGTCCTGGGATTTTTTGCCTTGGGAAGACTTCATGGGTTCACATCCCCAGTCTCAGATAATGTCTGGGATTTTTGCCTGAGAAGACTATGGGTCATCATTTCGTCTCAGATAACTGTCCATGGGTATTTTTTGCCTTGGAAGACCATGGGGTCATCGTCTCAGATAACTGTCCTGGGATTTTTGCCTTGGGAAGACCATGGGTCATCCGTCTCAGATAACTGTCCTGGGATTTTTGCCTTGGGAAGACTATGGGTCATCCGTCTCAGATAACTGTCCTGGGATTTTTGCCTTGGGAAGAGTATGGGTCATCCGTCTCAGATAACTGTCCTGGGATTTTTGCCTTGGGAAGACTATGGGTCATTCGTCTCAGATAACTGTCCTGGGATTTTTGCCTTGGGAAGACCATGGGTCATCCGTCTCAGATAACTGTCCTGGGATTTTTGCCTTTGGAAGACCATGGGTCATCCGTCTCAGATAACTGTCCTGGGATTTTTGCCTTGGGAAGACTATGGGTCATCCGTCTCAGATAACTGTCCTGGGATTTTTGCCTTTGGAAGACTATGGATCATCCGTCTCAGATAACTGTCTGGGATTTTGTGCCTTGGAAGACCATGGGTCATTCCGTCTCAGTTAAATGGTACTGGGAATTTGCTGGGAAGACTTTTTTATGGGTCATCCAGTCTCAGATAACTGTCTGGGGTTTTTGCCTTGGAAGACTAAGGGGTCATCCGGCTCGATAAACTGTCCTGGGATTTTTGCCTTGGGAAGACTATGGGTCATCCGTCTCAGATATCTGTCCTGGGATTGTTGCCTTGGGAAGAATATGGGTCATCCGTCTCAGATAACTGTCCTGGGATTTTTGCCTTGGGAAGACCATGGGTCATCCGTCTCAGATAACTGTCCTGGGATTTTTGCCTTGGGAAGACCATGGGTCATCCATCTCAGATAACTGTCCTGGGATTTTTGCCTTGGGAAGACTATGGGTCATCCGTCTCAGATAACTGTCCTGGGATTTTTGCCTTGGGAAGACTATGGGTCATCCGTCTCAGATAACTGTCCTGGGATTTTTGTCTGGGGAAGACTATGGGTCATCCGTGTCAGATAACTGTCCTGGGATTTTTGCCTTTGGAAGACTATGGGTCATCCGTCTCAAGGCAGCCTTCTTGATGAAGGGTTTGAGCTGGAAGGTCATCGCAAAGAAACTTGACAGCTGAGCTTGCTATCGTCAAGCGATGGCGTGACCGCAGCTTCAACTGTTGGAGGCAATGTTGTCAGGCAGTGGACATAGTCCGATGTGGAAACATTGAAAGACATGAAATCGAATTCGATAGGTGTTCTAGGTGAGGAGATTCAAGTCATGACACTTGACAGCTATGGTTGCTATCGTAAAGCGATGGCGTGACCGCAGCTTCGGCGGGTTAGGGCGATCTTGTGTTTCTTAACTAGCTCTCTTAGAAAGCTGGATAGCTGTGGTTGCTCGTTGAGGAGATTCAAGTCATGACACTTGACAGCTATGGTTGCTATCGTAAAGCGATGGCGTGACCGCAGCTTCGGCGGGTTAGGGCGATCTTGTGTTTCTTAACTAGCTCTCTTAGAAAGCTGGTCGGCAGAAATAATTTCTTAAAGTGAAGCGTGTGGCGAGAACGACTGTAAAGAAACAGCACCTGCTTGATCGAAAGAGTGAAAAGTTACGATCTGTAATAGTTGTATGTAAGTGATCTTTTAAAGATTCAAGCCAAAAGAAATAAAACTCCTAAATCTAATGTAATGGGATTCTGTGGGCGGGTGGGGTTTCTTCTAGAAGATAGCTTGACTAGAAATAGCCTGACATGAAATGTTCAAAGTCAGAGCTGCTGAACCCTAAACCCTAAACCCTAAACCCTAAACCCTAAACCCTAAACCCTAAACCCTAAACCCTAAACCCTAAACCCTAAACCCTAAACCCTAAACCCTAAACCCCTAAACCCTAAACCCTAAACCCTAAACCCTAAACCCTAAACCCTAAATTTCTTTATCACATAGTAATTTAAACCTTAATGTTTCAGGCCCAAATTTGGGCCCAAACTTCGTGGACCAGGCCCAAATTTGGGCCCAAACTTCGTGGACCAGGCCCAAATTTGGGCCCAAACTTCGTGGACCAGGCCCAAATTTGGGCCCAAACTTCGTGGACCAGGCCCAAATTTGGGCCCAAACTTCGTGGACCAGGCCCAAAATCCAATTTCTTTATCACATAGTAATTTAAACCTTAATGTTTCAGGCCCAAATTTGGGCCCAAACTTCGTGGACCAGGCCCAAATTTGGGCCCAAACTTCGTGGACCAGGCCCAAATTTGGGCCCAAACTTCGTGGACCAGGCCCAAATTTGGGCCCAAACTTCGTGGACCAGGCCCAAATTTGGGCCCAAACTTCGTGGACCAGGCCCAAAATCCACGAATCCAGGCCCAAAATCCACGAATCCAGGCCCAAAATCCACGAATCCAGGCCCAAATCGAGGATCCACGAATCCCAGGAATCCCAGGCCCAAAATCCACGAATCCAGGCCCAAAATCCACGAATCCAGGCCCAAAATCCACGAATCCTGCCGGGCAGAGCTTTGAAGGATCTAGGGTGGGTTGGGGAGTTGCACTGGACAAAGCTTGGAAGCATCCAAAGGGTGGCTTGTGGGAAGTTGCTTGATACGGGTATGCGCATACTTTGCCGTGAAGCTGCATGATTGAAGGATCTAGGGTGGGTTGGGGAGGCTACACTACGCAAAGCTAGGAAGAACCGGTTCCGAGCACAAGGCGAGCCGAGGTTTTGGAACTGATGCGCAGGAAGGTGTCGAAGCAGCCTGAAGCCGGGGGGAGGTGCTTGAACTACACTACGCAAAGCTAGGAAGAACCGGTTCCGAGCACAAGGCGAGCCGAGGTTTTGGAACTGATGCGCAGGAAGGTGTCGAAGCAGCCTGAAGCCGGGCAGAGCTTTGAAGGATCCAGGGTGGGTTGGGGAGTTGCAACAGACAAAGCTTGGAAGCATTGAAAGGGTGGCTTGTGGGAAGTTGCTTGATACGGGTTTGGGACAGTAGTTACGCGCATACTTTGCAGTGAAGCTGCATCTGAGGACGGGTTTTCGTTCAGGCGTGGCTCGTATGGTTGCGACTTACGCGCAACCACTCGAAAACACTGTCATTCTTGTTGCGACTTACGCGCAGCCGGACTCAACATTGAAGTTGTACAAAGTTGTGTCTAGTTGTCAGAGGCTGGCTCAAAGGTAGGTGTGCTTGACTCGTCGCGGAAGTTCTCGAAGTCGAAGCTGTTGAACTCGTCCTCGGTGGACTCGAAAGCATACGTGCTGGGCTCATCTGTGCGGCCGGATGTGTCAGGCTCTTCACTGGTGTTCGGGAATCCATCCGTGCTGGGCTCGTCGTCGTCGAAGTCGGAGTCGTTGGGTTCTTCTTCGGATTCCTGGAAATCAGTGGCCGATCGACTGTCCTCCGTCTCGGTGGTGTCGCTGAGATGGGATGGCCGAAGCTGCTCGTTGTTGGCGCCTACGGCTCGCCAGTCTGTGCGACGGACCTTGCCGATGAGATAGACATCCGTTGCTTTTCTGGCGCGAGAGAGGCCGACGTAGGCATAGCCCTTGTCGGCCACACGTCTGTCGAACCAGAGGGCAATCTTGTTCAAAGTTGCCCCTTGCGCACGTCGGATAGTTGTGGCCCAACCGTAAGACACCGGCAAGTACTTCCGGCCACGGAGCGTGATTGGATGCACCAGAATGGGCACATTCTGACTGGACTTGAGTATGAAAACATCTTGTCGCAAGACAGATTGCACTTTACCAGTCGCTCCATTGACGAAGCCGCGATCCTTGTCGACGTTGTGCGTCAAACGAAGGCGCATACCCGGGCTGACGATGATGTGGTCGGCTTCGGCGGGTATTCCACGGCCTTGCTCCAATTGCAGAGCTTCGGAAGGATAGTCTCGGGCGAGACAGGCCATGTTGATGGTTTTGGCACCACGGTTTGTCACGGTCAAGAAGGTGAAGTCATCCGTTTCGCCTTCGATGCGCATGGCCCTTGCAACGGCGTCCTGGATGTCGGCGGGCCATAGTCGCTCGTGGAAGAAGTGCTCTATCTCGGCTCGACTTGGCTGCTGTACTCTGCAATGCTGCAGGAAGTCGAGCATGATCGGATCCACAGAGCGTGCTCCTTGGTGTTGCTGAAGTTCTACATGTAGCACAAGAAGCTTCTTTGTCGTCGAAAGCAGTCATCGTGGAAACCTTTGAAAATTCTTGCAATTTTCAAAAAAAAAGCGTTTTGCGACATGCCGCAGACGAGCCTGGCGACATGTAAGCAGCGGCCTGGACGGCCCATGGCCGAGGCCTGCCTCTGACCCCCTGGCCGGCCTCGGCCATGGCTTCGGCCTCTGACCCCCCAACAACGCGCGCGCGCGCGCGAAAAGGTCTTTGGAGGCCTGGCGGTGAAGGGTTTCAGCTGAACGGTCATCGCAAAGAAACTTGATATGATAGCGGTGGTTGCTATCGTAAAACGATGGCGTGACCGCAGCTATTGTGGGAGGCAATGTTGTCAGGCAGTGGACACAGTCCGATGTGGAAACATTGAAATCGAATTCGATAGCTGTTCTAGGTGAGGAGATTCGAGTCATGACACTTGACAGCTATGGTTGCTATCGTAAAGCGATGGCGTGACCGCAGCTTCGGCGGGTTAGGGCGATCTTGTGTTTCTTAACTAGCTCTCTTAGAAAGCTGGATAGCTGTGGTTGCTAGTTGAGGAGATTCAAGTCATGACACTTGACAGCTATGGTTGCTATCGTAAAGCGATGGCGTGACCGCAGCTTCGGCGGGTTAGGGCGATGTTGCGTTTCTTAACTAGCTCTCTTAGAAAGCTGGTCGGCAGCATTAACTCTTAAAGTGAAGCGTGTTGCAAGAACGACTGTAAAGAAACAGCACTTGCTTGATCGAAGGAGTGGAAAGTTACGATCTGTAATAGTTGTATGTAAGGTTTAGGGTTTAGAATTCAGCAGCTCCGCAACTTTAATCTTTCAGCTGGTTGTGTTGACACCATAAGCAAATTAGGGTTTAGCGACAACAGCAACTGGAAGCGTCTGAAGAGAATGTCGACGGAGACCGAACAACAACATTCTCGTGCTGGCCTTCAACCAAGCAGTAGTTGAGTTTAGGGCCTAGGGTTTAACTATAACATCATAGTCATAGAGGTGTGTGAAGCTAAGTTGTAGATAGGTGCTTCGAAGGATGAAAAAAAACCCTCTATTTTCTTAATGTTATGGGATTCTGAGGGTGGGTGGGTGTTATTCTTAAACCATAGACACAACACTACTTTAAAACTGCTCGACCCGGAGCTGCTGAACCCTAAACCCTAAACCCTAAACCCTCAAGAGCAGGATAAATAGAAATTGTGTGTTTTTTCCTATGCAAATTGCATTTGCATTAGTTTCAAACTTTCATTAAACGTGTCCAACCAAATTCCAGCCCAAGCTTCCCAGGCCCAGCCCCAAGCCTAGCCCCCATTAGCCAGCTCGGCCCCCAGCCCGCCACTCCCAAAATGAAAACTTCAAGTCAAAAAACAAAACCCGCCCAAAACTTTCGCTCAAAACTTTCGCCCAAAACTTTCGCCGACCCCAGGCCAGCCCACTCCCAGAATCAAAACACAAAAGCAAAACTTTCGCTCAAAACCCCAGACTCAGACCCCGGCCCCAGCCAGCCCACCCCAGCCCACTCCCCAAATCAGCGGCCAGCCCACTCCCACAATCAAAACACCAAAGTAAAAAACAAAACTGCTCAAAACTTTCGGTCAAAACCTCGGACCCTGTCAATTCAAAATTAAAACACCAAAGCAAAAAACAAAACCCGGTCAAAACCCGGGACCCAAACCCTATACAATTTCTATAAACCCTAAACCCTAAACCCTAAACCCTAAACCCTCAAGTCCCCATAAATTGAGCTTGCGTATTACACCGTGCATGGTATTCCATTACATTCTTTTCAAGTTGAAGCAAATACACTTAACATCATATCCTTAGATATGCATAGCCGTTTGCACAAGTTATTGCAATAGAGTTTAAGTAAATTGAATTGATTATTCCGCCACCACCACCACCAATATGCAATCGAGTTTAAGTAAATTGCACCAGCCCGCTGGCTCAGAATGGCCTAGGGACCTAGTCATAGTCAGAATCCTTTCGTTTTGCCGGGGTTGTAACATCCTCTGGTCTCGGCTCGCCACCCGAGTGAGCGAAATCGTAGGACGACCTTGGTTGAAGATTGTTGAGACAAGGGGAAGCTCAGGACAAAAAGCGCAAACTCCATGGTGACATCTGCCCGTCCGCCGACGGTGGAGAGTCGGAACCCAACAGGATCCCAAGACGATCACAACGGAAGGCCAACGTGAAACAAGACAGCTGCCGAGATCCCAACAGAATTGGTGCGCACGATCTTTGTACAAGTAATGCAGCCGTCTATTTAAAGTGTCCCTCTAAAATAGATCGGCCTGCAGCGCACTGACACTTGACTGGTCCTGCACTGCACCACAGTCACCAACAGACCTTCCCGCAACCCCAAAACCCTGAAAAAAAAAACCGTGCTGCAGAAGCAACAAGGGGCAAGAAGGTTGACAACCGTTAGTTTACAGTCAATGAGCACAAACGCTCCAAACCCACGTGAACCGAGAACGAAAAAACAAGCTGTCACGGGCAGGCAGACTACAAGGCTAGCAAGTCCCAAAGATCACAACGCCCCGAACGGATCTGCACCAGTTCCGTTTATATTTTAAGCCCAGAATGGAAGGGGCCTCGAGATCGGCCCTCCGGCCGAATAAAAACGCTATTCTATTAACAGAATTTGTTACCCAAAACGCCCACCCCAAAATCCAGGAAATTTGGCTTTAATTATTTTATGGTTTAAGCCCGAATCTGCACCAGTTCCGTTTGTATTTTAGGCCCAGAATGGAGGGGACCTCGAGATCGGCCCTCCGGCCCAATAAAAACGTTATTCTATGAACAGAATTTGTCACCCAAAACGCCAACCCCAAAATCCAGGAAATGTGGCTTTCAGTTTAGCAAACCCCCATTCAAGGTTCATTAACAGGGTTTTCCAAACCCTATGGTTTAGCAAACCCCCATTCAAGGTTTATTAAACCCTAATTTAGGGTTTAGCAAACCCTAGGGTTTAGCAAACACCCATTCAGGGTTTATTAACTAATTTAGGGTTTAGCAAACCCTAGGGCTTAGCAAACCCCCACTCAAGGTTTATTAATTCTTAATTTAAGGTTTAGCAAACCCTAGGGTTTATTTAGGGTTTAGCAATCCTAGAGTTTAGCAAACCCCATTCATTTAGGGTTTAGCAAACCCTAGGGTTTAGCAAACCCCCACTCAGGGTTTATTAATTCTTAATTTAAGGTTTAGCAAACCCTAGGGTTTATTTAGGGTTTAGCAATCCTAGAGTTTAGCAAACCCCATTCAGGGTTTATTAAACCCTAATTCAGGGTTTAACAAACCCTAGGGTTTAGCAAACCCCCATTCAGGGTTTATTAAACCCTAATTTAGGGTTTAGCAAACCCCCATGCAAGGTTAAAAAACTAAAAAAAAAAACTAAAAAAAATAAAAAATAATAAAAAAATAGAAAAAAGGCCAAAAAATTCAAGAAAACCCAAAAAAAACCCCCCAGTTTAGGATTCTCAAAAAGGCACCCCGCACACGAAGCAAGCTCAATAAACCCTAAACCCTAAACCCTAAACCCTAAACCCTAAACCCTAAACCCTCAAGTCCCCATAAATTGAGCTTGCGTATTACACCGTGCATGGTATTCCATTACATTCTTTTAAAGTTGAAGCAAATACACTTAACATCATATCCTTAGATATGCATAGCCGTTTGCACAAGTTATTGCAATCGAGTTTAAGTAAATTGAATTGATTATTCCGCCACCACCACCACCAATATGCAATCGAGTTTAAGTAAATTGCACCAGCCCGCTGGCTCAGAATGGCCTAGGGACCTAGTCATAGTCAGAATCCTTTCGTTTTGCCGGGGTTGTAACATCCTCTGGTCTCGGCTCGCCACCCGAGTGAGCGAAATCGTAGGACGACCTTGGTTGAAGATTGTTGAGACAAGGGGAAGCTCAGGACAAAAAGCGCAAACTCCATGGTGACATCTGCCCGTCCGCCCACGGTGGAGAGTCGGAACCCAACAGGATCCCAAGACGATCACAACGGAAGGCCAACGTGAAACAAGACAGCTGCCGAGATCCCAACAGAATTGGTGCGCACGATCTTTGTACAAGTAATGCAGCCGTCTATTTGAAGTGTCCCTCTAAAATAGATCGGCCTGCAGCGCACTGACACTTGACTGGTCCTGCACTGCACCACAGTCACCAACAGACCTTCCCGCAACCCCAAAACCCTGAAAAAAAAACCGTGCTGCAGAAGCAACAAGGGGCAAGAAGGTTGACAACCGTTAGTTTACAGTCAATGAGCACAAACGCTCCAAACCCACGTGAACCGAGAACGAAAAAACAAGCTGTCACGGGCAGGCAGACTACAAGGCTAGCAAGTCCCAAAGATCACAACGCCCCGAACGGATCTGCACCAGTTCCGTTTATATTTTAAGCCCAGAATGGAAGGGGCCTCGAGATCGGCCCTCCGGCCGAATAAAAACGCTATTCTATTAACAGAATTTGTTACCCAAAACGCCCACCCCAAAATCCAGGAAATTTGGCTTTAATTATTTTATGGTTTAAGCCCGAATCTGCACCAGTTCCGTTTGTATTTTAGGCCCAGAATGGAGGGGACCTCGAGATCGGCCCTCCGGCCCAATAAAAACGTTATTCTATGAACAGAATTTGTCACCCAAAACGCCAACCCCAAAATCCAGGAAATGTGGCTTTCAGTTTAGCAAACCCCCATTCAAGGTTCATTAACAGGGTTTTCCAAACCCTATGGTTTAGCAAACCCCCATTCAAGGTTTATTAAACCCTAATTTAGGGTTTAGCAAACCCTAGGGTTTAGCAAACACCCATTCAGGGTTTATTAACTAATTTAGGGTTTAGCAAACCCTAGGGCTTAGCAAGCCCCCACTCAAGGTTTATTAATTCTTAATTTAAGGTTTAGCAAACCCTAGGGTTTATTTAGGGTTTAGCAATCCTAGAGTTT